GAAACAATCCACAGCTATTTTTTATTTTTTTTTATTAGCTAATGATCCTTGATTCCTCTGTGGCTAAGTCCATGTTTATTTTGAATGATTAAATGTATTTCTTTATAGACAGGAGTAATTATATAATTTGAGCAAATTGATTTAAATGTACTTCTCTATAGGACCCACCACTATGCCGTTCCTCTCCTTTCTATTGGTTTTCATATCAACTTTATTTCCTTGTTCAGAAGCCGAAGGAACAGTCCGAGTCGTATTAGCATCCCATCCTAGTTGTTGCATCTTTAGAGTCCCCTTCTTTCTAAGTTTCTAACGGATGTTTTAATCTCCGTCACATATGGAACCGCTCTCATCAGGTGTTCTGTTTAGAATGGTGTTTTCCCGTATCAGGTGTTCTGTTTAGAATGGTGTTTTCCCGTATCAGGTGTTCTGGTTAGAATGGTGTTTTCCCGTATCAGGTGTTCTGGTTAGAATGGTGTTTTCCCGTATCAGGTGTTCTGTTTAGAATGGTGTTTTCCCGTATCAGGTGTTCTGGTTAGAATGGTGTTTTCCCGTATCAGGTGTTCTGGTTAGAATGGTGTTTTCCCGTATCAGGTGTTCTGGTTAGAATGGTGTTTTCCCGTATCAGGTGTTCTGGTTAGAATGGTGTTTTCCCGTATCAGTGTTCTGGTTAGAATGGTGTTTTCCCGTATCAGGTGTTCTGGTTAGAATGGTGTTTTCCCGTATCAGGTGTTCTGGTTAGAATGGTGTTTTCCCGTATCAGGTGTTCTGGTTAGAATGGTTTTTTCCCGTATCAGGTGTTCTGGTTAGAATGGTGTTTTCCCGTATCAGGTGTTCTGGTTAGAATGGTGTTTTCCCGTATCAGGTGTTCTGGTTAGAATGGTGTTTTCCCGTATCAGGTGTTCTGGTTAGAATGGTGTTTTCCCGTAAATTGCATTTTGGCAGTGGTGTAGTGGTGCCTGGAGAAGTGGGTATACTCTAATTTTGCCTGGAGAAGTGGGTATACTCTAATTTTGCCTGGAGAAGTGGGTATACTCTAATTTTGCCAAGAAATGTCCAAATGGCCCGCCCGGCGAAGGAAAGGCGCCCTGTGTGAAAAGTTCTATGAAAAACAGTGACATACACTCTGAATGAGTCAGAAATTCAAAGGTTTCAGATTTTTCCCCCATTTTTTCAGGTTTTTTGCTCTCACAGTTTTTTTTACAGAAGAAAATCACAATTGTATATTCTAAGTCCATAACAATGCTTGAACAACATCAGGAGACCACTTTTGAAGAAATTTTGATTTTTGAGTGTAGTTGTCCTTTAATTCAAGTGTGCAGGCACTTTTGTTTGGTTAGTGGTGTTTCTGTTGCACATGAGATGGAGTACGCAAAAAAAAAAAGGACACTAGATTGATACAAATAATCATCATATCATTCTGACAGGTAGGCATAGGCTACTTTGTAGCTAGTTAACATTTAATAAAGGAGATTTTTGGGAAAGCCTTTCCATCTACCAGAAGACAGTTAGACCTATCATTAGCAGTGCTATATTTTTCCTGTTCCTTAATTATTTGACACCTGAACGTTTTACTTCATTATGTGATGCATGTCTTACCTAGCTTCAAAGTAGTAGCCTATAGCCAAAATCCCACCATAGAAACGTGGAGGCAATTATTTTTATAAAGACATACTCATTATGCGTTCTCCTGTTCAACTTTCTTTCATTGTCTAGCAGCCAAAGGCATAGTCATATTAGCAACACATTACAGTTGTTGCATCTTTAAATCCCACCTCTTTCTACATTTCTAACGGATATTTCCATCTCTGTCCATGAAACCACTCGTATGTGCGGTGCGCATTTTTAGAACGGTGTTTATTCCGCAATCGCGTGTTAGAACGTTCACGCGTAGGCCTTCCGCCGTGTGCACATTGCTGCGCGTAAAATGTGGAGAAATAATAGTTTGTCAACATTTTAGCTAAACATTCTGATCAGTTCCATCAGCCTTATTAATTGAGATGGCGTATACCTCCACCACACTACTTTGATACACATCAGTGGGGATTAAGAAGTGAGTGTACGAAATGCCCACTGAAAAATAAGTGGGCATACTGCGTATACCTGCGTATACCCTCCACTACACCACTGGGTATACGCAATGCTGACTGAAAAATAAGTAGGTATACGCCGTATACCAGCGTATACCCTGGACTACACCTCTGCATTTTGGCAACTGTTTGAAAATGAAGTTCTATTGGCTGCTTCAGTACAGGAGATGCTTGTTCTGTTAAGATGAATTACCATAATCTAAATGTGATTTCTGTCATTCTGAGCTCCGTGGGCGGACGCCATGATGGGTTACGCACCCAATGCATATGGGTCTGGTAAATTTCTCTAATGGCCGGTAAATTAAAATCTTACCGGTCACGTTGTGCGGGCCACATTTTCCCAACGGAAACCCTGAATCACACACACATCCAATCCCATCGAACAAGTGGTCAAAAAAGACCCACCCACACACAACTACAAAAACACATACACAGCTATACACACACACACACACAACTACACACAACTACACAGCTACAACCACACAACTATATCCACACACACACAACTACACACACATACACAACTACACACACATACACTACTGGTCAAAAGTTTTAGAACACCTCATTCAAGGATTTTAGTTTATTTTTAATTATTTTCTACATTGTAGAATAATAGTGAAGACACCAAAACTATGAAATAACACATATGGAATCATGTAGTAACCAAAAAAGTGTTAAACAAATCAAAATATATTTTATATTTGAGATTTTTAAAAATAGCCACCCTTTGCCTTGATGACAGCTTTGCACACTCTTGGCATTCTCTCAATCAGCTTCATTACATAGTGGTCCTCTGTAGCTCAGCTGGTAGAGCACGGCGCTTGTAACGCCAAGGTAGTGGGTTCGATCCCCGTGACCACCAACACACAAAAATTTTTGCACGCATGACTGTAAGTCACGTTGGATAAAAGCGTCTGCTAAATGGCATATTATATTATTATATAGTCACCTGGAATGCATTTCAATTAACAGGTGTGCCTTAAAAGTTAATTTGTGGAATTTCTTTCCTTCTTATTGCGTGTGAGCCAAGGTAGGGGTGGAATACAGAAGATAGCCCTATTTGGTAAAAGACCAAGTCCATATTAGTGAGGGGAATGGCACCTCCTTACCTTCAGGCTCTGATCAGTCCCTACACCCAAACGAGGGCATTGCGTTCATCCACCTCTGGCCTGCTGGCTCCCCTTCCTCTGCGGAAGCATAGTTCCCGCTCAGCCCAGTCAAAACTGTTCGCTGCTCTGGCACCCCAATGGTGGAACAAGCTCCCTCACGACGCCAGGACAGCGGAGTCACTCACCACCTTCCGGAGACACTTGAAACCCTACTTCTTTAAGTAATACCTGGGATAGTATAAAAGTAATCATTCTACCCCCCCCACCCCCCCCCCACCCCACCCCACCCCCACAAAAATAAATAAATTAATAAAATTACAAAAGGGGGGAAAACAAATGAAAAACGTTTTTCATCTTTTTTTTTAATAATAGAAAAGGAGAAAAAAGATTTTAAAAAAGGTAAAAATTAATTAACATTTAATGAAAAATAATTTAAAATATACAGAAATTATATATATAAAACAAATGAAAATTATAAATATACTCTAAAAATTATGAATTAAACAATTTGTAAAATATATGAAAAAATAAATTGTAAAGTGGTTGTCCCACTGGCTATCATAAGGTGAATGCACCAATTTGTAAGTCGCTCTGGATAAGAGTGTCTGCTAACTGACGTAAATGTAAATATTATGGTAAGCCCAGCTCAAATAAGCGAAGAGAAATGACAGTCCATCATTACTTTAAGACATGACGGTCAGTCAATCTGGAAAATTTCAAGACCGCCACAGGAAAGGAAGACCCAGAGTTACCTCTGCTGCAGAGGATAAGTTCATTAGAGTTACCAGCCTCAGAAATTTCAGCCCAAATAAATGTTTCACAGAGTTCAAGTAACAGACACATCTCAACATCAACTGTTCAGAGGAGACTGCGTGAATCAGGCCTTCATGGTTGAATTGCTTCAAAGAAACCACTACTAAAGGACATCAATAAGAAGAAGATAATTGCTTTGGCCAAAAAAACAGAGCAATGGACATTAGACGGGTGGAAATCTATAATTTGGTCTGGAGTCCAAATTTGAGATTTTTGGTTCCAACCGCCGTGTCTTTGTGAGACGCGATGTGGGTGAACGGATGATCTCCGCATGTGTATTTCCCACATTAAAAGCATGGAAGAGGAGGTGTGAGGGTGTGGGGGTGCTTTGCTGGTGACACTGTCTGTGATTTATTTAGAATTCAAGGCACATTTAACCAGCATGGCTACCACAGCATTCTGCAGCGATAAACCATCCCATCTGCTTTGGATTTAGTGGGAATATCATTTGTTTTTCAATAGGACAATGACCCAACACACCTCCAAGCTGTGTAAGGGCTATTTTACCAAGAAGGAGAGTGATGAAGTGCTGCATCAGATGACCTGGCCTCTACAATCCCATGTCATCAACCTAATTGAGATGGTTTGGGATGAGTCGGACCGCAGAGTGAAGGAAAAGCAGCCATGAAGTGCACAGCATATGTGGGAACTCCTTCAAGACTGTTGGAAAAGCATTCCAGGTGAAGCTGATTGAGAGAATGCCAAGAGTGTGCAAAGCTGTTATCAAGGCAAAGGGTGGCTATTTGAAGAATCTCAAATATAAAATATATTTTGTTTAGTTTAACACTTCTTTTGGTTAGTACATCATTCCATATGTGTTATTTCTTAGTTTTGATGTATTCACTATTATTCTACAATGTAGAAAATAGTTTTAAAAAATAAAGTAAAACCCTTGAATAAGTAGATGTTCTGAAACTTTGAATCGGTAGTGTAAACAGCTACACACAGCTAGACACACTTCTCGGCCCCCAGACGTACTTTTACACTTGGGCAGGGTGTTGCTCCACTGTCCGTTGGACTGGCAGTGAGACTTCACAGCCCCCTGTAGGACGTAGCCGGAGTTGCACACGAAGCGCACAATATCGTTCAGGTTGAACTGCGTTCCCTGGGTAACGCCAAAGGTAGGGTTGCCCGGGTGACCACATGTGATCGCTATGGACATAAATAAGACACACATTATCCATCACGATCAATGAACATGCCTGAAGTTATTAAAAACTGTCAACACTACCCCAAAACACATCAGTCATATGTTTTCCAATGCGATTCCACCTTAGCCAGTAGAAGCCACTGGTAGACCCAAGACTACAACCCCTTTACGTAGACCCAAGACTACAACCCCTATAGATAGACCCAAGACTACAGGCCCCAGAATTGTTCAACCCATCTCAAGCCACCATCTCCGTGTACTTACGGACACAGACAGGGGTTCGTCCGGACCAGCGGTGGTCCTGTTCACAGATGCGTACAGACACCCCGATGAGTCTGAATCCTGGGTTACACTGGTAGACCACGCTACCTCTGTAGTTGTAGTTCTCTCCTATGATCTGACCATTCACTATGGGCTCTGGGGTACCGCAGTGACCCGCTAGGGAGGAGGGACAGAACAGAACAGAGACAAAGAAAAACAGTCACATATGTATACAGTTTCTATCTATATTATAGTATATATACTATACAGGCTATATTCTGTCTGTCATAAATAGGTCCTACATATAGCCACATAAAACACAATGGTAAACAAACACTATGATCTGGTTCTTTGTGAAAATAGCTTAATCAACTCAATGTTCAGAGTAGCTGAAATACAACACGGGATTGAACTGGTTAAATCTGGTTGTAACTGTTTCTAGCTGGTTCTGGTCCTCTTACCGAGACACTGGACCTGAGATCCACTCCAGAGGCCGTTGGACATGCACTCTCTGACCCGGGACCCCACCAGAGTATAGCCTGTGTTACAGGAAAAGATGGCTGTCGCTCCGAACACCGTCAGAGTCCCGATCTTATTCCCATTCGGAGGAGTACCCAGGTCCCCACAGGAGATTACTGAGGAGAGGAAACAAGATGAGACAAGCAGAAGAGGGAGAGGATAGATCTATTATTTATTTATCCTAACAGACAAACAAAACATATTAATATGTTCAACTTGGTTTATTTCATTTCGGTAATTGTTTTGATGTCATCCATTTTGTTGGATCAAGTTTTCCTCTCTGCGTTCATTTACATTTTAGTCATTTAACAGACGCTCTTATCCAGAGCGACTTACAGTTAGTGAGTGCATACATTTTTTATACTGGCCCCCCGTGGGAATGGAACCCACAATCCTGGCGTTGCAAGCGCCATGCTCTACCAACTGAGCTAGAAGGGGTTCATTAAGGCTAATCTTTCTCTCTCTCTCTTCTGCATTCATCAATGCTAATCTTTCTCTCTCTCTCCTCTCTGCATTCATCAAGGCTAATCTTTCTCTCTCTCCTCTGCGTTCATCAAGGCTAATCTTTCTCTCTCTCCTCTGCGTTCATCAAGGCTAATCTTTCTCTCTCTCCTCTGCGTTCATCAAGGCTAATCTTTCTCTCTCTCCTCTGCGTTCATCAAGGCTAATATTTCTCTCTCTCTTCTGCATTCATCAAGGCTAATATTTATCTCTCTCCTCTGCATTCATCAAGGCTAATATTTCTCTCTTCCTCTCTTAACAGGAACACTTGAGGGAAAAAAATATTTGATCCCCTGCTGATTTTGTACGTTTGCCCACTGACAAAGAAATGATCAGTCTATAATTTTAATGGTAGGTTTATTTGTAGAGTGAGAGACAGAATAACAACAAAAAAATCCAGAAAAACGCATGTCAAAAATTTTATAAATTTATTTGCATTTTAATGAGGGAAATAAGTATTTGACACCCTCTCAATCAGAAAGATTTCTGGCTCCCAGGTGTCTTTTATACAGGTAACGAGCTGAGATTAGGAGCACACTCTTTAAGGGAGTGCTCCTAATCTCAGTTTGTTACCTGTATAAAAGACACCTGTCCACAGAAGCAATCAATCAATCAGATTCCAAACTCTCCACCATGGCCAAGACCAAAGAGCTCTCCAAGGATGTCAGGGACAAGATTGTAGACCTACACAAGGCTGGAATGGTCTACAAGACCATCGCCAAGCAGCTTGGTGAGAAGATGACAACAGTTGGTGCGATTATTCGCAAATGGAAGAAACACAAAAGAACTGTCAATCTCCCTCGGCCTGGGGCTCCATGTAAGTTCTCACCTTGTGGAGATGCAATGATCATGAGAACGGTGAGGAATCAGCCCAGAACTACACTGGAGGATCTTGTCAGTGATCTCAAGGCAGCTGGGACCATAGTCACCAAGACAAAAATGGGTAACACACTATGCCGTGAAGGACTGAAATCCTGTAGCGCCCGCAAGGTCCCCCTGCTCAAGAAAGCACATTTACAGGCCCGTCTGAAGTTTGCCAATGAACATCTGAATGATTCAGAGGAGAACTGGGTGAAAGTGTTGTGGTCAGATGAGACCAAAATCGAGCTCTTTGGCATCAACTCAACTTGCTGTGTTTGGAGGAGGAGGAATGCTGCCTATGACCCCAAGAACACCATCCCCACCGTCAAACATGGAGGTGGAAACATTATGCTTTGGGGGTGTTTTTCTGCTAAGACAACTTCACCGCATCAAAGGGACGATGGACGGGGCCATGTACCGTCAAATCTTGGGTGAGAACCTCCTTCCCTCAGCCAGGGCATTGAAAATGGGTCGTGGATGGGTATTCCAGCATGACAATGACCCAAAACACACGGCCAAGGCAACAAAGGAGTGGCTCAAGAAGAAGCACATTAAGGTCCTGGAGTGGCCTAGCCAGTCTCCAGACCTTAATCCCATAGAAAATCTGTGGAGGGAGGTGAAGGTTCGAGTTGCCAAATGTCAGCCTCGAAACCTTTATGACTTGGAGAAGATCTGCAAAGAGGATTGGGACAAAATCCCTCCTGAGATGTGTGCAAACCTGGTGGCCAACTACAAGAAACGTCTGTCCTCTGTGATTGCCAACAAGGGTTTTGCCACCAAGTACTAAGTCATGTTTTGCAGAGGGGTCAAATACTTATTTCCCTCATTAAAATGCAAATCAATTTATAACATTTTTGACATGCGTTTTCCTGGATTTTGTTGTTGTTATTCTGTCTCTCACTGTTCAAATAAACATACCATTAAAATTATAGACTGATCATGTCTTTGTCAGTTGGCAAAAGTCAGAGGTGTAGTCCAGGGTATACGCTGGTATACGGCGTATACCTACTTATTTTTCAGTCAGCATTGCGTATACCCAGTGGTGTAGTGGAGGGTATACGCAGGTATACGCAGTATGCCCACTTATTTTTCAGTGGGCATTTCGTACACTCACTTCTTAATCCCCACTGATGTGTATCAAAGTAGTGTGGTGGAGGTATACGCCATCTCAATTAATAAGGCTGATGGAACTGATCAGAATGTTTAGCTTAAAATGTTGACAAACTATTATTTCTCCACATTTTACGCGCAGCAATGTGCACACGGCGGAAGGCCTACGCGTGAACGTTCTAACACGCGATTGCGGAATAAACACCGTTCTAAAAATGCGCACCGCACATACGAGTGGTTTCATGGACAGAGATGGAAATATCCGTTAGAAATGTAGAAAGAGGTGGGATTTAAAGATGCAACAACTGTAATGTGTTGCTAATATGACTATGCCTTTGGCTGCTAGACAATGAAAGAAAGTTGAACAGGAGAACGCATAATGAGTATGTCTTTATAAAAATAATTGCCTCCACGTTTCTATGGTGGGATTTTGGCTATAGGCTACTACTTTGAAGCTAGGTAAGACATGCATCACATAATGAAGTAAAACGTTCAGGTGTCAAATAATTAAGGAACAGGAAAAATATAGCACTGCTAATGATAGGTCTAACTGTCTTCTGGTAGATGGAAAGGCTTTCCCAAAAATCTCCTTTATTAAATGTTAACTAGCTACAAAGTAGCCTATGCCTACCTGTCAGAATGATATGATGATTATTTGTATCAATCTAGTGTCCTTTTTTTTTTTGCGTACTCCATCTCATGTGCAACAGAAACACCACTAACCAAACAAAAGTGCCTGCACACTTGAATTAAAGGACAACTACACTCAAAAATCAAAATTTCTTCAAAAGTGGTCTCCTGATGTTGTTCAAGCATTGTTATGGACTTAGAATATACAATTGTGATTTTCTTCTGTAAAAAAAACTGTGAGAGCAAAAACCTGAAAAAATGGGGGAAAATCTGAAACCTTTGAATTTCTGACTCATTCAGAGTGTATGTCACTGTTTTTCATAGAACTTTTCACACAGGGCGCCTTTCCTTCGCCGGGCGGGCCATTTGGACATTTCTTGGCAAAATTAGAGTATACCCACTTCTCCAGGCAAAATTAGAGTATACCCACTTCTCCAGGCAAAATTAGAGTATACCCACTTCTCCAGGCACCACTACACCACTGGCAAAAGTACAAAATCAGCAGGGGATCAAATACTTATTTCCCTCACTGTAAAGAAAGCCTTGGTCAGGTGAATTAGCATTGATAAAGATTTCCATGGTATTTTATTGACTGTGTCTTTCTCATTCTGTAATTGTGAACAAGCTAAATCAACTAAAGCATAACTTGGTTGAGAGCAAAATGCAGATTTTACTGTTCTACAATGCATTGTGGGAGATGTAGTTTCTGACTCACTCTCGCAGGCCGGCCGGGGCTCTGGGTAGTCCCAGGTGCTGTTGGCTTGGCAACGGATGACCCTCTGACCCTTGTAGTAATATCCGGGGTCACAGATGAGCATCATCATGGCGTCGTACTGGCTCTGAGACCCGTAGATCAGCCTCCATCTCCCATGATCCACTGCAGCGTGGCCGATGTCAGGGCAGGTCACAGCTGCAAAGATCAGTGGTCAGATACACACAGGTCAAAGGTCAGAAATGACTAACTGAACTGGTAAGTTGTGAAAGGGCTACTCTATTTCATCAATAGGCTATGTTACTTAGACTATGTATCTGTGTGAAGTACCATGTGACAATAGTTACTACTTTATGTTATTTTGTGGTCATTGAAAATGGTATTTCTATCTGAAAATAAAATAAAATAGAGAACATAATTTTCTAAGTGAGGTTATTTATAACCTGAACATGGCACAAGCTTGGAAGTGACACTTCATTCTTGGATCTCAACAGTAATCTGTTTGAAGTGAAGAAGGGATTAATGAACACATACAGAAGTCTGGTTCAACAACAAGCCTTGGGGCTGAACCCTGTTACAACTCACTGTCTAATTCGTAATAAAAACGTATTCTAAATCATTACAAATCTTGGAGGAAATGTAGCCTAAATTATACCTCTGGGAACTCATGCCCCAATGAGAGCTGACCTATGTGATCTCCAACCAATGAGAGCTGACCTATGTGATCTCCAACCAATGGGGCCTCACTATAAGTGGTCCTCTGTAGCTCAATTGGTAGAGCATGGCACTTGTAACGCCAGGGTAGTGGGTTCGATGCTCGGGACCACCCATTCGTAAAAATGTATGCACACATGACTGTAAGTCGCTTTGGATAAAAGCGTCTGCTAAATGGCATATTATTATTATTATTATTATTATTATTATTATTATTATTATTATTATTATTATTATTATTATTATTATTATTATTATAAGTAATCTCCAACCAATGAGGCCTCACTATAAGTGATATCCAACCAATGAGGCCTCACTATAAGTGATCTCCAACCAATGAGGACTCACGATAAGGGATCTCCAGCCAATGAGGACTCAAGGATGTGAACTCCAACCAATGAGCATATATATATGTCAGAGGAAGACTCCAGCCACCCTAGTCATAGACTGTTCTCTCTGCTACCGCACGGCAAGCGGTTCCGGAGCGCCAAGTCTAGGTCCAAGAGGCTTCTAAACAGGTTCTACCCCTCAAAGCCATAAGACTCCTGAACAGCTAATCAAATGGCTACCCGGACTATATGCATTGCCCCCCCACTCTTTTACGCTGCTGCTACTCTCTGTTTATTATCTATGTATAGTCACTTTAATAACTCTTCCTACATGTACATATTACCTCAATTACCTCGACTAACCGGTGCCCCCACACATTGACTCTGTACTGGTACCCCCTGTATATAGCCTCCCTACTGTTATTTTTACTGCTGCTCTTTCATTATTTGTTACTTTTATTTCATATTATTTTAGATTGTATTTTTTTGTGTGATTTCTTTGTGTATTCTTTCTTAAAACTGCATTGTTGGTTAAGGGCTTTTAAGTAAGCATTTCACTGTAAGGTCTACACCTGTTGTATTCGGCGCATGTGACAAATAGCATTTGATTTTATTTGATTTTATATTTATGTCTCCAATCGATGAGGACTACTCACGTATGCAGCGGGGAGGGGCTTCATTGGGGCTCCACCTCCCAGACGACTGACAGACGACTGACACAGCCAGGGGGCTGGCCAATCTGAAGCCAGGGTTGCACTGGTACATGGCCCTGGCACCAAGAGTGAAGTCCTGCCCGACTATACTACCGTTTACTGGAGGTATAGGCATCCCACAGGCCATCACTGGAGAGAGAATGGGGGAGAGGAAGGGAAGGAGGGAGGAGGAACAAAGAGAGAGAGAGAGAGCTAGAGAGATAAGAGAAATATATAACTACCGCTCTCTAGCGCTCGATAGATATCGCGATAGCTGAGCGATCCTCTCTCCGATCGCGCTCTCTCTCTCGTCTCGGCTGTCTCTCTCTCTCTCTCAACCAACCTCCAACACCCCTTCCCTATCGTTGCGCGCTCGACCCCTCCCCAGCATTTGCAAAATTGAAAACAGAGCTAGGGTAGATATGGATTTAACCAAGATGGAATAAGGGTTTAAAGGCCATAACATAAAACCATCCAGAAGATCTCTGTGTGCATAGAGCTTCTCTCACAACATGCTCTCACTCTGACCGGCATTATCGTGGAGTAAACATTAGCTTGTCCCCGTCACTACCTGTCTGCCTCTTAAAAGGGCACCCTGTTCCCTACTAGAGCCCTGGTCAAACGTAGTGCAGTATTTAGGGACTAGGGTGGGACTTTGGAAGCACACAATGGCCACCCCGCTGTTGCCAGTTTCCACCTGCACTGCTGTTGTTGATACAGCATCGCTGCAACTGTTGATACAGCATCACCGCAGCTGCTCACCTGAGTAGGGCTGGGAGGCGATTTAATACCTTAGTTTTGCTTTCTGAGAGAAGGCATACATTATACATCTTCTATCAAACAATCTATATCTTCCATCAAACAATCTATATCTTCTATCAAACAATCTATATCTTCTATCAAACAATCTAGATCTTCCATCAAACAATCTATATCTTCCATATAAATGTGTGAACTACTTTTCAGAATTTAGGCTTAAAATGAATTCCATAAACCTTTTCGTGCATGTTATTCACTTCAATCATTTCTCCTCCATCCCCCTCAAGGACATCTTCACATCATGTTACTTCTCTTTAGCCAGCAAGTCAATAAGTCAATATTTAATTTCCAAGCTATTCATTTTGTGAAATACCAAATGTTTGTAACTTTTCTGTGACAAAATATTAACGTGAGCTCTTCAGTTAAGTCATGGTCAACAACTCCCTGTTTACAATTCAAGAGAACCCACACCACCCACAGCAGAATCAATGCATTAGAAACCTTGACATGAGCATTTCTATGCAATAGAATGAGAGATTTTGAAAGCGTACCAGAAAGCAATCAACATCTGAATAGATCAATGCAAAGAATACTGTAGAATCATTAAACCTATTCAGTTTCAGTCAATGCAGTATTGCTTTATGTCTAAAGCCCGGCCAACTGTATTGAAGTGGCTGGTTTCAATTCAGCCACTGATTTTGACCAATTTGGGCCAATTAAGTGCCCAGGGAGAGGTGAAAACTTGTACTGAAGCCCCAAAGGACCTGAGTTGACCATCCATGATCTGTGGTATTCACTTCCATCAAAATAGGCACCAGAAAAATTCCCAGTAGCTAGTTGTATTAATTAAATATGCACATAAATCTGAACCCACCGAATGGACTACAAGGCCCGGTGCTTTGGGCCTTGTTGTCAAGGAGAACCACAAGCCTTCGTTATGGTTCATGTCCTTACCTTGGCAGAGGGGTACGGGTGCGTTCCATATGTAGATCCCCTGGGGGGTGCGGGTGCAGGTGGCACTGCTCTGGCCAATCAGGCGAAAGCCCTGGTCACAGCTGAAGCGCAGGGTACTGCCCAGCTTGGTGCCTGTCTGACTGTGGACTGTTCCATTGAGAGGGTTGCTGGGGGTGCTGCAGTACGCCGCTGTGAATAAACAAACAACAAACGCATTTAATGAAACAACAACAACATTTTAATGACCTGACTAAATCTGAAACGTTTTCAAAAGTTTGCTAGGGGGGGCTGTAATACGTTGCTATGGATGAATTAGTTTTTCCTTAACTTTCACAATAGTTGGTTGAAACAATGGTAATATGCAACTACAATGAGCAATGCTCACTGAGCATTTACAGTAAAACTGTCAATTCTTCTTATGTTTCAAAACCAACAAAGGACAAAAAAACAGAAAATTAGGTAGAGTGAGAGAGAGAGAAAGAAGCAGACAGAAAGAAACAGAGAGAGAGAGACAGAGACTTACAGAGAGAGAGAGAGAGACAGAGAGAGACAGAGACAGAGACAGAGACAGAGACAGAGACAGAGACAGTGACAGTGACAGAGAGAGAGAGACAGATATACAGAGAGAGACAGTGACAGAGAGAGAGAGAGAGATACAGAGAGACAGTGACAGAGAAAGAGAGAGAGAGAGAGAGAGAGATACAGAGAGAGACAGAGAGAGAGAGAGAGAGAGATACAGAGAGATACAGAGAGACAGTGACAGAGAGACAGTGACAGAGAGAGAGAGAGAACAAACAAATAAACAGAGCAAACTAGAATGCTATTTGGCCCTAAACAGAGAGTACACAGTGGCAGAATACCTGACCACTGTGACTGACCCAAACTTAAGGAAAGCTTTGACTATGTACAGACTCAGTGAGCATAGCCTTGCTATTGAGGAAGGCCGCCGTAGGCAGACCTGGCTCTCAAGAGAAGACAGGCTATGTGCACACTGCCCACAAAATGAGGTGGAAACTGAGCTGCTCTTCCTAACCTCCTGCCAAATGTATGACCATATTAGAGACACATATTTCCCTCAGATTACAGCGATCCACAAAGAATTCGAAAACAAACCCAATTTTGATAAACTCCCTTATCTACTGGGTGAAAAACCACAGTGTGCCATCACAGCTGCAAGATTTGTGACCTGTTGCCACAAGAAAAGGGCAACCAGTGAAGAACAAACACCATTGTAAATACAACCCATATTTATGTTTATTTATTTTCCCATTTGTACTTTAACTATTTGCACATTGTTACAACACTGTATATATACATAATATGACATTTGAAATGTCTTTATTCTTTTGAAACTTCTGAGTGTAATGTTTACTGTTAATATTTATTGTTTATTTCACTTTTGTTTACTATCTACTTCATTTGCATTGGCAATGTTAACATACGTTTCCCATGCCAATAAAACCCTTAAATTGAAATTGAAATTGAAATCGAAATTGAAATTGAAATTGAATTGAGAGAGAGGTCATGCTCAACATGAGGTCCTGATGTATTTCTGTGTTTTTTGTTTTTAGAATGAGATAAACACTCGACTCAAAAAAATAATAATTCAAGACAAGAAGTGATGAACAACAACTCAATTCAATCAGAATAGAAGAATAAGTAACTTTCCCCCTCAAATTAAGAAGTTTTGACTCTCACTAGCTAGCTACACAACAAAACCTAGCCAGCAGGCTAACAAGCCAGCCAGAAAATGAAGCTATAACAAACCTAGCAAGGGGAGTTAATACAACTACATCAAACGACCAAACTGAGAAAATCAAAAAGAAGCACGGACTCCAACATTAAACATATCTTCTGTTTTTGTGTGTGAAGATTTTTCACAACTTTTGCTGGTTTTTGAGCTAAACAGGAGCTAGCTAGCAACAGCAGCAGACAAACAAAACTGGTTGCCATAGCAGCGGTGCAGCAGAACAGAGCAGCAGCAGCAGTAGTAGCAGAGCCCACAGGCACCATGTCCCCACTCCCCATCAGCGCTGAGTCCATTCTCTACCCTCCAGAGCCCACAGGCACCATGTCCCCACTCCCCATCAGCGCTGAGTCCATTCTCTACCCTCCAGAGGCCACAGGCACCATGTCCCCACTCCCCCTCAGCGCTGAGTCCATTTTCTACCCTCCAGAGGCCACAGGCACCATGTCCCCACTCCCCCTCAGCGCTGAGTCCAGTCTCTACCCTCCAGAGCCCACAGGCACCATGTCCCCACTCCCCCTCAGCGCTGAGTCCATTCTCTACCCTCCAGAGCCCACAGGCACCATGTCCCCACTCCCCCTCAGCGCTGAGTCCATTCTCTACCCTTCAGAGACCACAGGCACCATGTCCCCACTCCCCCTCAGCACTTAGTCCATTCTCTACCCCCCCAGAGGCTACAGGCACCATGTCCCCACTCCCCCTCAGCGCTGAGTCCATTCTCTACCCTCCAGAGGCCACAGGCACCATGTCCCCACTCCCCCTCAGCGCTGAGTCCATTCTCTACCCTCCAGAGCCCACAGGCACCATGTCCCTACTCCCCCTCAGCGCTGAGTCCATTCTCTACCCTCCAGAGGCCCACAGGCACCATCTCCCCACTCCCCCTCAGAGCTGAGTCCATTCTCTACCCTCCAGAGGCCACAGGCACCATGTCCCCACTCCCCTCAGAGCTGAGTCCATTCTCTACCCTCCAGAGGCCACAGGCACCATGTCCCCACTCCCCCTCAGCGCTGAGTCCATTCTCTACCCTCCAGAGGCCCACAGGCACCATGTCCCCACTCCCCCTCAGAGCTGAGTCCATTCTCTACCCTCCAGAGGCCACAGGCACCATGTCCCCACTCCCCCTCAGAGCTGAGTCCATTCTCTACCCTCCAGAGGCCACAGGCACCATGTCCCCACTCCCCCTCAGAGCTGAGTCCATTCTCTACCCTCCAGAGGCCACAGGCACCATGTCCCCACTCCCCCTCAGCGCTGAGTCCATTCTCTACCCTCCAGAGGCCACAGGCACCATGTCCCCACTCCCCCTCAGAGCTGAGTCCATTCTCTACCCTCCAGAGGCCACAGGCACCATGTCCCCACTCCCCCTCAGAGCTGAGTCCATTCTCTACCCTCCAGAGGCCACAGGCACCATGTCCCCACTCCCCCTCAGAGCTGAGTCCATTCTCTACCCTCCAGAGGCCACAGGCACCATGTCCCCACTCCCCCTCAGCGCTGAGTCCATTCTCTACCCTCCAGAGGCCCACAGGCACCATGTCCCCACTCCCCCTCAGCGCTGAGTCCATTCTCTACCCTCCAGAGGCCACAGGCACCATGTCCCCACTCCCCCTCAGCGCTGAGTCCATTCTCTACCCTCCAGAGGTCCACAGGCACCATGTCCCCACTCCCCCTCAGCGCTGAGTCCATTCTCTACCCTCCAGAGGCCACAGGCACCATGTCCCCACTCCCCCTCAGAGCTGAGTCCATTCTCTACCCTCCAGAGGTCCACAGGCACCATGTCCCCACTCCCCCTCAGCGCTGAGTCCATTCTCTACCCCCCAGAGGCCAAAAATGACACAACAAGGAAAGCTTTTAAACAGAATCTACTAAAGGGGAGGCCAGAAACCCTTTTCACAGACCTCTACAAAAACGGTGATGTGAGTAATCTCATCTTTCTCACTGACCAGCCAAATGCATGGCGCTCAGCAGTCTGCTCTCACTACCCATCCATAAAGAAAGAGGGAATCTGTAATGGGTGGAAGCTGAAAGTAAAAGAGACAGATGACCCTGACAGCACCATGATAACAATCAACCTCTACAAGACTGGGACTGTCATGGTGCAAGGTAACCTTAGGCTGTTTGAAACAGACTTTCAGACCATTAAGGAGAGAGCAGAGAGAGAGAAGGACACCACCAGTGACATGCCCTCCCACAAGACAAACTCCACCAGCAGCACCCTCACCCCCACTGTCCCCACCCAAAAAGGCACATCCAGCACCTCTCTTCCCACCATAGTGGAGGACACGCCACAGGAGGAGAGCGACCCCCTCAGTGCAGAGCAGGCTCAGGCCCTCCTCACCACCATGGCTGCCATGAGGGATCAGTTCACCACACTGGAGGGGGAGGTGGTCCTGCTCATGGAGAGTGTGAGCAAACAGCAACCAGACATCCACACCTTAGAGGAGCTCCTAACCAAGGTGCGGACAAAGCAGGACAGCAGCCTTGCAACACAACTGAAAAAAGTTCAGCAAGAGAGAGACGGACTCAAGAGAGAGCTGGCTGATCTAACAAAGGAGGTGAGAGAGCCCCAAAAATACAGGCAGAGCAGTAATAACGAGCTGACCACACTAAGAGAGGAGCTGCAGGAGAGAAAGAGAACAGAGGACAGGCTGCAGGAGCAGCTAGATCACCACTCTATGACCTGCCCTCACACATCAGAGGAGCCCACCTCAACCAGCCAGGCCTCCCCAGCCCTGCCGGCTGCATGCCTCCCCCAGCCCCCAGAACAGCCTCCCACTGACAGCGGCACCGGCACAGACCAGCCACACCCCAGCTCCAACACCCACCAGCCCCAACTCTACCCCCTCCAGTCCAGAAGAAACACTGGCTGACATTGTCCTGTTGATGGACTCAAATCGAACCTTTTCCCTAGACACAAAACGAGAAAGGTGTGGTGCCCAACAACGCAGAATGCCATGGAGCTGCTTGATAAGACCCAGCTCAGGTCGCCAAGCCACATAATCATACACACCGGAAGCAATGACCTGCGTGCTCAGCAGGAGAGGGTGTCGACTTCACTATGGGGACTGATTGAGAAGGCCTCCGCAATCTTCCCCAACTCAAGGATCGTGTTGTCAACCCTTCTACAGAGGAAGGACTTCCACCCTGCCACAATCCAAAGAAGAAACGCCAGCCTCTCCCGGGACTGTGCCCTGCGACCCAATGTACACCTGGCCCACCATCCCACCCTCGATCTGGACTGTCTCTATGACCATGTTCACCTGTACAGGGAGACAGTCCCCATCCTTGCTAAGACTCTCAAGGACGTCGCTTTAAACTGCAGCCCGACCTCTCCACCCACGAACAGCGGAGCAATCTCCACCCCCCAGAGATCACCGAGACAACACCCCGGACCAGCACCCTGGACCCCCCAGCCACGGCCACAGCACCACCAACCTCAATGCCCACCACATTCAGCACAGACCGCCCCCAATAACGAAATGAGTGACATCAAACAAATACTGAGTCTACTATGCTCACATGTGATAGGCCGAGGGTCATGGTAAGATGAGCACAAGAACTCCACCATCCTCACACTACATCCACCCAAGTGGCATGACACAAATACTATCTTAAATGATAAACAAATCACATTTGCATAATAAGAGTTTACGTTAATTGCAAAATCCTATTTTAATAGTTATTGTTGGATTGTGAGTGTTCATCTCATTTTGAAGGTAAAGAAAAAACAGTTATGAAATATTTTTAAGTTGCATGTTTGAATTTACAAGGATTTAAGTCCTCTGCTTTTGGGCTAAAGAGCAGAAACCCAGACTTCCTTAAAGAAATGGATGATGTTGATATTGTAGTACTACAGGAAACATGGTGCAGAGGTGATGTTTCCACTGGCTGTCCACTAGGTTATAGGGAGATAATCGTACCATCCACCAAATTAAAAGGAATCACACAGGGCAGAGACTCAGGGGGAATGCTAATATGGTATAAATCTGAACTAACTAATTCAATCGAATTGATCAAAACAGGATAATTATTTATCTGGTTAGAAATCAACAACGTCATCCTCTGTGCCACATACATTCCCCCCTCAGAGTCACCCTACTTCAATGAAGAGAGTTTCTCCATTCTAGAGGGGGAGATTAGTCACTTTCAGGCCCAAGGCAACGTGCTGGTCTGTGGAGACCTGAATGCTAGAACAGCAGAAGAACTAGACACTATTAACAGTCATGTGGACAAACACCTACCAGGATGCAACAGCATTTCCCTTCCCACATACCCCCCCCCCCAGAAACAACTATGGTAAAGTGAAAAACTAAAATGGAGTACAGCTCCTGAAGCTCCGTCGAACACTGGGTCTATACATAGTCAATGGTAGGTTAAGAGGGGACTCTTTTGGTAGGTACACCTACAGCTCATCCCTTGGCAGCAGTACTGTAGACTACTTCATCACCGACCTCAACACAGTCTCTCAGAGCCTTCACAGTCAGCCCACTAACACCTCTCTCAGACCACCAAATAAATTACATGGTACTAAACAGACCTATAGATGGAGTGCAAACAGCACAGAAATCTACCAAAATGCAATTAGTAGCCAAAAAATACAATCTCTCCTTGACAACTTTTTAGCCTTAACATTCTCCTACAGCAATGAAGGTGTACATTTGGCCGTTTGGAACATAAACTTTATATTTGACAAATTAGCCTCCTTGGCTAATCTAAAGAAACATAAGAGCAAAACAAAAATAATAGATCATGAAAAATTGTTTGATAATGATTACAAAAATGTAAGAAAGTCATTGAGAAATATTTCTAATCATAAACACAGAGACCCAGACAACAAAAATATACATCTTCAATATGGGGAAACACTGAAGCAATACAAACACACCCTAAGAACAAAAAAGGAACCGAACATTAGAAATCAGCTGGATGTGATTGAGGAATCCATAGAATCAAACCACTTCTGGGAGAATTGGAATAAATTAATGAGGAATTGGCTATCCAAAATGGGGATATGTGGAGAAATCACTTTGCAAACCTCTACAGCAATATAACAAAGAGCCCAGAACAACAAGATATACAAGAAAAATTACAAATCCTTGAATCAGCAGTCAAAGACTATCAGAATCCTGTGGATACCCCAATTACAGAACAAGAATTATTGGAAAACTTTGCACTCTCCAACCCAAAAAGGCCTGTGGTGCTGATGGTATTTTAAATGAAATGATCAAGTATACAGAGCACACATTCAAATTGGCTATACTCAAACTCTTTAACATTGTCCTAACTGCAGGTATTTTCCCCGATATTTGGAACAAAGGATTGATCACACCAATCTATAAAAATGGAGACAAATTTGACTCAAATAATTACAGAAGAATTTGTGTTAACAGCAACTTGGGGACATTTCTCTGCAGTATCATAAACAGCAGACTACATAATTTCCTTGATGAACACAACGTCCTAAGCAGAAGCCAGATCAGATTTTTTTTTTTTTTATGATCGTACAAGAGACCACATTTACACCACAATCTAATTGACAAAACAAAGGCAAAATCTACTTGTGTTTTGTAGACTTCAAGAAAGCATTTGATTCAATTTGGCAAGAAGGTCTTTTTTACAAACTAATAGAAAGCGGTATTGGAGGGTAAACATATTATGTTATTAAATCAATGTACACTAAAAACAAATGTGTGGTTAAAATTGGCAACAAGCAAACATACTTATTCTCTCAGGGACGTGGAGTGAAACAGGGCTTCCCAATAAGTCCAACACTATTTAACATCCACATTAATGAAATGGCAAAAACATTAGAATAATCGGCAGCACCTGGTCTCACCCAGAGTGTTAACATCTAACCAGTCCTCCAGACCCCCTCGCCAGTCCCCAGTCCTCCAGACCCCCTCGCCAGTCCCCAGTCCTCCAGACCCCCTCGCCAGTCCCCAGTCCTCCAGACCCCCTCGCCAGTCCCCAGTCCTCCAGACCCCCTTGCCAGTCCCCAGTCCTCCAGACCCCCTCGCCAGTCCCCAGTCCTCCAGACCCCCTCGCCAGTCCCCAGTCCTCCAGACCCCCTCGCCAGTCCCCAGT